CGTGTATCATACGAAAAAAATTATTGATGAACGTTGTTAATTAGATATTCGTGAAAATTCTCGATTAACGAGAGCCAATACGCTTTAAATTGCACAGAAACGGAGTTTTAGCAATTGATTTTATCTTGATAGAATGCTTTTAACGACTTGATCAAAATTCTTGGTTTTGAGGGCTATTAAACAAGAATTTTACATGTAATTAAAGGTTTGCTGATATTAAACTATGAAGGAAGTATATGAAATGTACATACATATTCATTGTTTTTCACATTGTCTTTTTACATTCCTCGATAAAGTTTACAGAAAGTGCTTATGTTTTTTTTACAACGATTCAAGAATGGGGCGTACAGAATAAGCTTGTCACATCTTTCTACATCAGGAGTTATTGTAATCGAGAAAATATTGTACAGGAACGTCGTTTCATCTTTTACTGGAGCTCAATCAAGATATTTCAAGTCTGTTTTTTCTTTCTGAGTCTTAAAGTAACAATTTGTAAGGTATAAAAGAGCAACGAAGAAATGATAAACCAATACTAAACAAGGATGATAAAACAAACTTCCGGTTCAGACATCGGAAATTTTCAGAGGCGAATGGTTCACATTTCAGAAATTCAGCAATTTTCGGATTTTCCGGAAAAGAGGTCAACCTCGCGAGGCATACCAAAAGTTTTGGAAAATTCTTCCCGGGAATTTTCGTTCCATTGATTTTCTCCCGGTATTGCCCGAATTTTCGGTTGAATGGTTCACATTTCAGAATATCAGCAATTTTCGGATTTTCCGGAAACTTTTCCAAGGCTTTTTTCGTACCATTTGTTTTTCTTTCGATAGTTCCGGAATTTTTAGTGAAATGGAAAGTGTCCGAGCAATACCCAGATTTTCGAAAATTTCTTACTGTGAATTTCAATTCAATTGATTTTCCTCCCGGAGTTTCCGGTATTTTCGGTTGAATTGTTCGCCTTTCGAAAATTCGAAATTTTCGGAATTTACCAAAATTTTCTTAAGAAATTTCCATATCATTTACCTCCATTTTGAAATTTCCGAAATTTTTGGTTCAATAGGAAAAATCCCTTGCCTACCGTTACAGAAACCCAAACAGTCTCCGTAAATCTATTCGGAATATAGCTCACATAGGTTGTCTCACAGAAATAGTACGGGAGAGACAAACACCCTTAGCTATTGACCTCCTCCTCTTATATCATATTAAGTCAGCCAATAAACTTTTCTTAACCGTTTTATTATATGATCAACTATAGTAATGCTATAATTGGTTTAATGAGTTAATCCTGTTCTAAAACGTGTTCTAATTTAGGAATGCGAAAGGCTAAATATCTATTGGTTTATACACGGAGTAAATGCCTTGAACTCCCGTCCCGGTGAGGTAGCTTCAGCTACTTAACACTTTACTCTAGACGAAGTTTTATTTACGTGGTGCTGACAAGAGCCTTGACAAATGTTTCTATTTTCTATTTACTAAAACTAATATAAAATGTTTAACCTGATTGGCTATTGGCAAGCCTTAGAACCGTTTTCAATCGAGTGTCGAAAGACCAAAACCAAAGTAGTTACTCTGGCCCATCCCAATGGACACAGACAATTCAGTGGACCAATCACAACTCGCACCAAATACATGTAGCCGACACAAAGCGCGGGAAAAAGTATATGAACGAGTAGCAATTGGTTTTGGTTTTGCTCCTGATTGAATGAGAAAGTTGCGGGAGTTTTCTAAACCAATCACAAAGCGTAGTAAAGCAAAGCCAAAGCAAATGCGAATTACTTTCGACACTCAGGTGAAAACCGCTCAATTGGGCAGTAATTGGTGAGGTTGCACGTCACGCCTGTGTCTTTGGACAATGTACGCATCTCATCATTTACAGCTTTTTTGTGAAATTGAAGTTGATAAGGGTGAATTAACCTGGCTGTAGCATGTTTGTGACGCTGATGGCTGATGCTCAAAACGTCAACTTCACAAACTAGATAACCAAATAGATAAGTGTTTCATTTACCCGCTGATAAAGCCCTACAGCTTCCTCAGAAAGTAATACCTATGTTCATCACTAACAAGCACACTGTCTGTATTACATAGGTGGATTAGAATGTCCTTTTTGTGGGTTTCAAAACTACTGTCTTTTTCTCTTTTTCTCTTTTTATTCCTCAAAGGTTAAATCTTGTTTGTTTTCTTTTACTTAAATTTTGAAATGGTTAGGATTCATTTGCCGGGGTAATAGGGCTAGCAGCTCTAGCTTCGTGTCTTTTAACTCGGTCAGTAACCAGGCTCGTCTGTAACTAGGAGGAAAGGAGCGTGTCCATGCAAAACATTGGTTGAGTCATCACTGCCAGTGTGACGTCACCTTTTGCTTCGATGAAATTCAAAATGGCGTCTGTAACCCATCAGACTACCCCTTTATGGTCTCCCAAATTCTCAGTATCTCTTGGATGATTGCAAGCCGAATCGGACTCCATTCCATTTATCGTGCTATTACCATTATCCATTTTCAACTTTTCTCCTTTCAATAGCCGATAGAAACAAAAACTCAATGAAGGTAAAATTAAAAATGAGAGAATAGCAACCTCTTTTTGTTAGTTTTGACCCCGCCGATTTCACCGTTAAAAGCTAGATAAAGCGAGCACTTTATTTATGATAAAACCTGGGGAGGAACAATTTTTTTCTTCTTCTTTAACCATTAGATCCCTGGTGGATCATTGCTTTCCTCAATACAGTCTAAATAGTCAGTTTTGCCAGCAAAATAAACACTGATTGGTTAAGCTTTCTCAAAATATTTTGACTGACACAGTAGCCTTAAAATGCCATGGTTTAATAACTTTCTTCCCATTTAAGTTGAATTATATGAATAAAAATTGGGCACAAGGTAGAAAACAAAAACCTCCAGAAGTATTGCAATTTGGCTTGCTAAAACTCCTTAATTAACAACTTATAACATTCGGGAAGCCGATCGACCCGAAGAATGAGCATTCAAAGCCTCAAACAGGAGTCTGGTAACTAAGGTGTTTTACGCATTGGCACGCAACGCGTGCGAATAGAAATGCGCACTCCGACTATGTCGCCAATTACAAGCCTTGCTTCATTTGATCGGTTCCCATTTACCAACAGTTCCACAACACACACAGACTTTGTAGACATTAGAATACGCGCCTTTCTTCATGAACATTGACATCAGTATAAACAATTTCTTCTGCAACAATTTCAATCCATCCCGAGAAACAAACACATCAGTGTCCTGTGTAAGAAAGGGAATGCAGAAAAACAGAACGTTGTCAGAGGATGAAAACAAAGGAAAACGATGAAGTTAACAAAAAGAAAGTAAACTAATAATGACTGAGTTAATATACTACACTAATGTGACAAAAAGAACCGTTTCACGTAAATATCAATGGTTTAAAGTCAAAAATAAATCTGTTACTTTGAAAGACACTAAAATTTGAAGCAGACGGATAGAACGTGTTGGTCGACGTGAACAGGTTGCCTTTTTTGGACTGTTTATGGACCAAGATGCAGTCGAAGTGTATAAACGTGTAAAACGAAATAATAAAAGAGTCTAACCCTGTGAGCGAGCGATATGAATCAAATCCTACGCTGTGAAATACCGCTACCTTTCCCGCCCGGGATTGCGCGCTGTGTTCCCGCAAGAAAAAATGTCCCCGAAGCCGAACCAGGTTCGCCATATAATAAATCCCTTATTGACCAAGTTTGTTTGGTGAAGATGGCTGAACATTGGCCTCGTTTTTGCCGCGTGTTTATGGACCACGACTTCTTGGTCCATAAATACGCAGGAAAGAATTTGGCCAATATCGAGCCATCTTCACCTCACGCTTGGCAAACAACTCATATATGTTGAGCGAACAGGTTTGGTTAATAAACGATTTATTATACGGCATGTAAGGTACCATTTTCTTGCGGGATACGTCGGGCAATCCTGAGCGAGCAAGTTAACCTCATCTTGCCCGCTCGTACAGCCAATCTCAGAGCCGGACTTTGCTCTTTGTGCCCTCTTGCAGAGCTATAAAAATTTTATAATGTCTGTTTTATGCTTTTTATGGCTGTTACCTTTCTTTCCTATTGACATTCACAGTTTGGAGGTCGAGGCTGAAAAGGACACGTATTTTCTGACGTGCGAGTCCCGGTGGACTGAGTGGTAGACTGTTTGGCCGTTGCTCATGTTGTAGGCCCCAACCTCCACTCCGCTGTGATTTAAGTCATCCAGCTGCACCACATCCGGGGAATCCGTGCGTACTGAGTGACGATACACCTCAATATCCGGGATACTCTTTTTCCTCCTGCAGTTCTTGCAGGAGATACAGCACACATAGGTGCGGCCAGAGCGCTTCAGGAAAACGAAGATTATGACACATACGAGGAGTATAAAGGCCAACACAGATGATGTTATCAAGATGATAAACCGTGCGTCGTACACCACACCTCCTTTGACGCGCGTTATGTAAGATACACTGCCGTTAGTTATGACCAACACTTTGGGTGTCGTCTTCGGCTCGATTTGCGTGACGGGAGGCAGCGTGACTGTCTTGCCTTTAGTCGTGATGCTTGAGTGCACTGTCACGCCATCATTACCTGTGGTAATGGAAGAATGTACTGTCACACCATCGCTCTTGGTCTCGTGACTTAACACTGACGTCACCAGGGTTGAGTTTTTATTCGTTGCAATAGTGGTCGTCATGGTAACATGATGTTTTGGGGAAGACAGAGAATTTCTATTGTTACCTGAGGTTGGTGTGGTAGTGGACTTTTTGCGTACTGTAGAAGTTTCCTGTGGACCCAGCGTGGCAGTGAGGGGGGTACTTGATGTTGTCTTTACGTCCACTGTGGGGGG